CTTGTATTCTTACAATTTTTATTGACTGTTTCCTAGTATGATTTGATTGCTTATTGTACCCTATGACTATATTAAGTGTTGTACCTTATGATTCTTAACTCTTGACGAATGTATCTTTTCTTTTATGTACGCTGAGAGCATTTGCACCAAGACAAATTCCTTGTGTATCCAATCACACTTGGCCAATAAAGAATTCTATCTATCTCTCTTCTATCTAACAGAAATTTTGGACTTCTTTGTGGTTGTAAGTCGAGGACAACCTGTATTTTCTCACACTTGCATAATGGGCATGTGGCTGTACGAAAGGTTTGACTGCTGCTCTCAGATTAAAGTCTAACTCATACCTTTGAAAAATTGGTGTAAGATTGTTCTATCATACTGCATTGGAGGTCAAATAAGTTTAAGTGTTACCTGGGACAGGAAAGAAAGGGAGAGAAAGTTTGAAATTGAATAGAAGTCAGGAAGATACAGACGGTTTATCTCCAGCCTTTAGGAAAATGCATTGGTCACCACATTACAAAAAAAAAAGATTTTGAGACTTTGGAAAAAGTGCAGAGAAGAGCAACTAAGATGATTAAAAGCCTTGAGACTAAAACATATGAAGAACGGTTGCAGCATTTGGGTTTGGGTAGTCTAGAGAAAAGAAGGACGGTGATGATCCAGGGCGTGGCACAAAAGCAACAAAGTCATAAAAGTAGGTAAAGTCCCTTTAATTCCTCCAACTTGGCCGCTAATTTCCAGCTATCATCGGCTGGAGAAAAAACTCTCCCAAGAACAGTTTTTAAAGGGAAGAAATTCAGTCCGAACCCAAAGTCCATCTAAATTATAAATAAAAACCAACACAAACCACACTGCAGCAATTAACAAGACAGGGCAGGATAAGGGATTGAAGACTAATGAAATACACACACTTGGGAAGATGCCAGAACCCAGATAAGACGTGACAAACAAAGATAATGCACACACTGCTTCCAGAAAGGTGCTGTGCACAAACACCCTTTTTATCCTGTTTTCCCAGCTGCAGCTAATGAAGGGAATCAGGGCCCTTTTCTCCCACATAAGCCACGCAACTCACGTTGCTCCCTTATCTGTTCCTGCGTGCCCTAGGATGAAGAGGGGGTGGGCCTGAGTCTTCCTCTGAATGCCCAGCCAGACTGTGCCCTTCCCCAGTTTCCTCCACAGCCACTGAAGCCACACTCCCACTCCCTGTCAGTTATTCAACCTCCCCCTCGGAATCAGATTCCAACAGGGGCATGACAGGACGAGAGGTGACAGGATAGTATTAAAGGCAGTTACCAGGAACATCCTCCAGGGAAGGTCAAAAAAGTCACAATGGCAGTTGTGACTGGGCATTCATGCACTGGTGGCTACTTTCTTCATATTTTGGACTCTTTTCTGCAGAAACCCCTTTGTGTTGACCAATTTATTAGAATTAGAATTCTTTATTGGCCAAGTGTGATTGGACACACAAAGGATTTGTCTTGTTGCAAATGCTGTCGGTATACATAAAAGAAAAGATGCAGTCGTCAACAAACATAAGGGACAATATTTAATAATAGTCATAGGGTACAAGAAGCAACCAAATCATACTAGGAAACAGTTATATAGATCATAAGGATATAGGTGACAAAGTTACAGTCATACAGTCACAAGTGGGAGGGGATGGGTGATAAGGAGTGATGAGAAGATTAATAATAATAGTAGTGCAGACTTTGTAAATAGTTGGACAGTGTTGAGGGAATTATTTGTTTAGCAGGGTGATGGCGTTCAGGAAAAAACTGTCCTTGTGTCTAGTTGTTCTGGTGTGCAGTGCTCTATAGCGTCGTTTTAAATTAAATTAAATTTAAATAAAATGTAAATAAATAAATATTTTTTTAAAATAAAATAAATTAAATTAAAATTCTTATGCATGTAGACAACCTGTGTCTAATGCAAACATGGGACAGCCGACCCAACAAGAAATACCTTTAAAGAATAATGGTATCTTCAGGAACCTCAGTCTAAAATTCCACATTTATTCCACAGTCAAGGTAGTGGAGTCCTCATGGCACAAGTGCAAGGACAGCTGTCTTCGAACATTGCAAACAGCCCTCATTTCCCAATGTTGAAAATGTATCCAAAATGAACAGGAACTTTTGAAGTGTAGCACTGCCATTGGACTGTCACAATTACAGTGTAGTATAAATCCTTGACTTATGATCACAATTGAGCCCAAGATTTATGTCACTAAGTGAGACATTTGTTAAGGGGTTTTTGCCCCATTTCATGACCTTTCTTGACACAGTTGTTAAGTGAATGACTGCAGTTGTTAAGTTAGTGACACGGTCATTAAATGAATCTGGCTTCCCCATTGATGTTGCTGGTCAGAAGGTCACAAAAGGTGTTGTGGTTATCTGGCAACAGATGTGGACGGTGGAGGAGAGCGAAGACTCAGATGAGGGGCCAGGACTACTTGGGAGTGGACTGCTGCCTTCAGAGATTGTGGGGGCTGGTTGAGGAGGTTCCCGAGGAGCCTGTGCCAAGTGAGCATGCATGCAGGGTTGCTCACAGGAAAGAACAGTTACAACAGCACGGGCAACTCGGGAGTAAGGCTGCAAGGTAATGGACCCTCCCTCAAGAGGATAAAAGCCAGGTTTGAAGAAGCGTTCTTTGCAGAAAGCAAAGATGCTCTGAAACTCAGCCTCGTGGACATTATAGTTCGTATTTGAAAACTCTTGTAAACTAGTTCTTATCTCTGGGTTTTGGGCAGCCTTGACAAACAACTTGGCAAGGTTCTTTCTTGTCAAGCTAATTAGTTGGAAGAAGCCTTTTATCTGTGAAGAAACAGAATTCGTGGATTAAACCTTAAAAGGTGGGCTGCTGCCTTAGTCTTGTGTTTGCTTTCTTGGAACCAGTTTGGGTCAGAAAAAAAGGGGATCACATTACCCCCGGGACACTACAACTGTCACAAATGCAGACACTACAACTCTGCCACACATAATTTACAGTCACCTGTGACCCTGTTTTCCCCCCTCCTTCCCTGGGTGTGTCATCAATCAGATTCTCCAATGAAGCACGGTCTGGGTGTCATCTATCACATTTTCCAATGAAGGATTTTCATGGGCAGAAGATCCAGTAGCCTAGGCTACAATCTTTGTAAGATAAGCGTGGAATGTACTTCTGTTTTTAATTGCTGTACTCCTCCTTCAGGCTTCCCCCCCCCCTTCCTGCTTATGCCAACTCGGAAACAGGCATCAGAATACTTTACGAGTTGACATATGAGTCAGTTGCCATAGTCACTTGATCAGAATTCGGACACTTGGCAACTGACTCATATTTATGACAGTTGTACTGTCCAGGGGTCACTTGATTGCCTTTTGCGACCTTCTGACCCACAAAGTCAATGGTGGAAGCCAGGTTCACTTAACCATCATATGTCACAAGTATGAAAAGTGGTCACAAGATGCTTTTTCAGTGCTGTTGTAACTCTGAACGGTCACTAAATGAACTTTTGTAAGTCGAGGACCACCTGGACACACCTGGCTACACGCTCCTCCATTTTTGGTTATTGTTATTTGCAGGGAAAGAGAGGTTTTACCTCAGATTGCAGTTTAGTATCTCTGTGTAACAGAAGGAGCAGAATTTGCAAAGAAACCTTAGAACAAGAAGGGAAACATTTCCGTCTAATGGGAGGACCTTAAAAAAACTCATTTTGTATGTTCCAAGATAGCTCTGGGTTCCTGGCTTAGAGGAAAGTCCTCTGTTTTGAGGCACAACCTTGTTGCTGGACAGAAGTAGGGAAATCACAGCTTCTCCCAGCCTCATTCCCTGCCTTGTGTTCTGCCTTCAAAACGGGTGGGCTTCAAAAATTTTAGCACAGAGTTCTCTGCCCGGTTGCCATGGTGAGCTTGGCCTAGTTGGCCTCCTGCACCATGGTAGGGGTGGCATATTTATTTATTTATTTATTTTATATAGCTGCCTATTCGCCCATGGCTACTCGAGGCGGCTTATACAATGTAAAACCATATTTAAAATAAAAAATAAAAATGAAAAACAATAAAAACTAACAAAAAGAATCAAACAAATTAGTAAAGTACAATAGAACAAATTTTTTTTTGGGGGGGAACCAACTCCTACCCCCCCCCCCGCCCTGACGACAACAGATCACGCGATCTATTTGATGAGCTCCATCCCTCTCTGGGTTCCTCAGGCTCACTGGCAAAAGGTCTTCAGAGCCTTCCGGATGAGTGCTAAAGTGGGGGCCATTTTAATCTCTGGGGGAATGATGTTCCAGAGAGACGGAGCCACCACGGAGAAGGCCCTTCTTCTGGGTCCCAACAGGTGTATCTCCCTCAGGGGTGGGACCCACAACATTCGATGCCTCCATGCTCTCAAGCCTCCGGGAGGGCGAAAAAAGCCTCTCTGGGTTCCGGAAACAGGCCCATTTCCGCCCTTCCTGAATTTTCAGGAGGGCGTTTTTTGCCCTCCCCGAGCCTCTGTGCGTGGCCTCCACTTACCTGCGTCCAAAATTGGCCACCTGGGGACTCCTGGGAGGGGAAGGGTGGGCTGGGCAGGGCCAGACAGGAGTGGGATTTGAGGGTTCTCCAAACTGCACAGCATCTTAGCTAGGGGCTCTCCCGAATCCCTGCGAACCCCCCAGCCGCCCGCCACCCCTGCTTCAAAACCTCCAGTTGGTGGCTTATGCTTCCAAGGAAGCCTACAAGATTTTTCCCCTGCAGAGTTTCTCTGCTTCGCCAAACTACCGGAGCGAGTGAAAGAATTGTAAATGATTTTTAAATGAAAAGCCAATGTGAAAAATGGAACAGAAACCAACGTAAACATGTTAAGTTTTTAAAGACTATTTTCAGATGTTGTAAAGGGGAAAATGATTGTTCCTTGTCATTAAATCCTAGAGGACACATTTTTCCTTCTGAGTCACGATGTTATTTTAATTAGATTACATTTTATTGGAGGCTTTTGTGTTTCCTTTTTTAAAACAATCTGTAAAAAATGCGGCCCTTTTTATGTATGCATGGAAGAAAAAAAATCATTTTTTTTGTATAATTGTCCTTGGCAACTCATTAAATCCAATCCAAAACCAGGAGTAGTTTATTTATGTCTTACCAACATAAGACATAATGTATATCTAAAGTGCATTATGTTACAAAAAATATATATATAGAAAGTCAGCAGCACCAAGATAAAAGTTCATGGAAATAAATACATTATTCAACACAATAAATTATGGTAAATGTGACAACAAGAATTGTCTAAGTACAAAATTTCCCTCCCAGTATTCACAATGTTCAAATGTGCAGCTTTGGAGAACATCTGCAGCCAAGGTTTTATTTTTGAATCATTTACAATATTTACAGATAATAAATACTTTCCATATGTTCACAATTACAGAACACTTGAGTAAGTTTTCCAAAAAAAAATCTTAGCGGAGGATGTCAGCGCCTCCTGCAAAGGAAAGAAAAAAGGAAAGAATTATTTTCCCATAGAAAGAACTGGACACATTAATAGCCTCATCAAAAAAATCCTGGGTCTCTTGGAAGAGTTGACGGACAACATACAATCAGTCCAAGGATTTCAGGCCAACTTGTCTTTTGTGTTCATGGTTCTCAGTACAAAGAAATTAATAAAGCACAGTGTGATAGAAAATATCTTCCAAGAAGCAGTTTCTTTCTATACATAGACATAGATGATTAGGGGATTGGAGGCTAAAACATATGAAGAATGGTTGTGGGAACTGGGTATGTCTAGGCTTATGAAAAGAAGGACTAGGGGTGACAGGATAGCAATCTTCCAATATCTTATGGGCTGCCCCAAAGAAGAGGGAGTCAAGCTATTCTCCAAAGCACCGGAAGGCAGGGGCAAGAAGTAACGGATGGAAACTAATCAAGGAGAGATCCAACCTTGGACTAAGGAGAAATTTCCTGACAGAACAATCAACCAGTTGGAATGGCTTCCCTTCAGAGGTTGTGGGTGCTCCATTGCTGGAGGTTTTCAAGAAAAGACGGGACAGCCATTTGTCTAGAATGGTATAGGATCTCCTGCTTGAAGAGGGGTAAACTAGATCTCTAAGGTCACTTCCAATCTTATCATTCTGTGTTCTATGATCTGGTAAACCCTGGATTTCCATTCAGCTGCAACATGGGACACGGAGAAAGGTGTACAATTTCCCAGTTTGCACCAGTTGTATCCTTGTGGTCTACATGTTGCATGTTACAAAATGAGGAGAGAATGACATGTCCCAATTTCATAGAAACTGGAGGGCACAAAAAGGAAGAGAAATTTATTTCTACATTAGTTCTTCTTTTTGGTTTGGTCTTTTCCTTCCTCATGCCCAGGCTGTCTCTGCTGCTTCCAGAAATTTGGAACTTTGCTTCAACTTTATCCTTCCAATCTTGCCCATTTCTTCCCCTTCTCTCTGTCTAGCATGCTTAACCTGGCTACTGAAGTTACTCAGTGTTTGAGCACATTACATTAAACCATAAATAAATAGCACTGATATCAATAGAATTACATACTAGCCCATACAACACTCTCTAAGCATTTTACAGAGTCAGCAATATTTGCATGTTGCCCCCAATAATCTGGGTCCTCATTTAACCAACCTCAAAAAGTTAGAAAGCTGAGTCAAGCTCCCATCAGCATCGAACTCCAGGCTGTGAGCAGAGTGAGCCTGCAATATTGCATTCTAACCCCTGTGCCACCAGGGCTCCTAATGGAATGGCCTTATTTTGTATCATGATCAATGAACTAGCAAACAAAAACAGTCTCAAACTTTACCTTTTGTGCAATGCAGCTACTAGATCTTTCACCAATCTGGCTAAACATGTTTAACAAATATGGTCTTTCCCAAGCAGTAATTAAATACTGTATGGGTCACATTTTAGATCACAGGTTAATAGCCTAGAATTAGATGTGGATCAAACAAATAAGGACATCTGGAAAAAGAAACCTGAGGATTTAAAAGTGTGCTCTTAACTCTACCGGCAAGCAAGAATAACTACAAAGCTGAAAAATCTAAAAATATAAACCAGGCAGCTAAAGTTCTCTGCATATTTGTTGAGTTTTGTTTTCTCTGCCTGATGATACTTGTGTCTGTTCAAAGTCTGTCTCATCTTGTGTTCTAGACTTGTCATTACAAATGAGAACAGATCTGATTGGCGAAAGTCTATGACAGGGGTCTTCAAACTTGACAGCTTTAAGACTTCAATTCCCAGAATTCCTCCTCCAGTCATGTTAGCTTAGGAATTCTGGGAGTTGAAGTGCACAAGTCTTAAACTTGCCAAGTTTGAAGACCCTTGGTCTAGGAGGCTGAATTCTGTGATGGCTAGTTAAAGGAATTGGTATGCTTAGCATACAGAAGGTAAGGCTTTGGGGAGACATGATAGAAGTCTTCCAGTAAAGCTGTTTGACTGCAACTGGGAAGAAGGTCCGGCTTTATTCTCATAGTGTCCGGGTATAAAAAGCAATAGGTGAGAACTTTGCAGAGTGAGTTCTAATCAGGATGACCACGATAGCTATTAAGAGTATAAGTCACCCTTATAGAATCATGATGGTTCCATCACCAGAGGTTTTCAAACCAAGCTTGGATAGATGTTTGGGGTGTTTTGAGAGTTCCTGCCTTAGGCAAGAGGCCATTGGTCTAGAAGAAGTAGAAGAAGACATAGAATAATAGAGTTGGAAGGGACCTTGAAGTCCTTCTAGTCCAACCCCCCGCCCAAGTGGGAGACCCTATAACATTCCAGACAATGATTGTCCAGTGTCTTCTTGAAAGCCTTCAGTGATGGAGTACCCACAACTTCTGAAGGCAAGTTATTCCATTGGTTGATTACTTGATTGTTCTAACCATTAAGAATGTTCTCCTTAGTTCTAGGTTACTTCTCTCCCTGGTTAGTTTCCATCCATGGTTTCTTGTCTTGCCTTTTGGTGCTTTGGAAAATAGGTTAACCCAATGGTGGGATTCAGCCAGTTCGCACCAGTTCTGGAGAACCGGTTGTTAACTTCCTGAGCAGTTTGGTGAACTGGTTGTTGGAAGAAATCATTAGGGCAGAGAACCGGTTGTTAAATTATTTGAATCCCACCACTGGGTTGACCCCACCTCATCTTTGTAGGAGCCCCTCAAATACTGAAACACTTTGGAGTCCTTTGGCTTTTTCAAGTGGCTTTTATCTTGTTTTTCCTCAGTGAGGGAAACGGAACTGGGTTTGAATTTGGCCCATGTCAGGGGGATTCCTAAATTAAACTTATAGTTTACTCTCCTGACAGCACTAGCATTTTTAGCAAATATATGATACAAGTACATGTATTTGGCCTATGTAACAAGGGCGTTTAAAGAGGCATTCCAGATAGATGTGACATTAATGAAATTCCCTTTCGGCAACAAACATTTCAAAATCCTCTTCTCTGGTTTGGAATTTACTAACTCGTCATGAGCTGACCTGTAGTTTATACCAATGTTTCTCAACCCTGGCTGCTTAAAGAGGTGTGGACTTCAACTTCCAGAATTCCCCCAGGCAACAAGTCTGAGAATTGAAGTTCACGTATCTTCAGAATGCAAAGGTTGAGAAATGCTGGTTAATATGAAGAACTAAGCAAAATCCCATTGCGCCAATGTGCAGCTAAAGATATTAGGGCCCGTAAGACATGAGAATTGGTTATTCATGACCCCAGCCAATGTAGGAAGTGATGCTTTACCAGCAAAAGACACTTCTGAACTAGTGTTAGCTCTTTTTACCCATTTGGTAGAACCATTCTTGAAGATGATTCCTGGTTTTTAAATCCCAGTCTAACTCTTGCAAAACGGGCTTTCAAATAGCAATAGCACTTAGACTTATATACCGCTTCACAGTGCTTTTACAGCTCTCTTAAAACGGTTTACAGAGTCAGCCACTTGCCTCCAACAATCTGCGTCCTCATTTTACCCACCTCGGAAGGATGGAAGGCTGAGTCAACCTGGAGCCTGGTGAGATTCGAACTGCCAAATTGCAGTCAGCTGGCAGTCAGCAGAAGTAGCCCGCAGTACTGCACTCTAACCACTGCACCACTGGTAAGGTTAATAGGTAATACAGAATCAGTGGTATTTTGTTTTGTTTTTTTGGTTAATGGTAAGCTACCTTCTCCCATCCCCTGACTCTCTTCTTCAATCCCTTTTCTGTTTGTTTTATATTTCTTCCCTGCTAAAGAATCAAATTAACTTACTAGTGGGTTTGACTACATTAGGAGTGTGGCCAGAGGTGGTATTCAGCAGGTTCTGATCAGTTCTGGAGAATTGAAAGTGGAAATTTTGAGTAGTTTGGAGAACCAGTAAATACCATCTCTGATTGGCCCTGCCCTCATCTATTCTCTGCCTTCCAAGTCCCAGCTGATTGGCTGAGTCTTCTTTTGTTGCCCTGCAAAGGAGAATGGAGCTGGAAAGCGGGTTATTAGTGGGGTGGGGAGGGAATGGGGATTTTGCAGTGTCCTTCCCCTGCCATGCCTACCAAGCCAAGCCCACAGAACCGGTAATAAAAATGTTTTGAATCCCACCAATGAGTGTGGCACAGTATGTCACCTCCAAAGAATTGGGCACAACATTTGATACAATAATGTTGACAATATTTAACGAAGGGGAGGTGGGAATTTCACTGAAATCAGGTGATATCTATGTCATTTTGCCAATATGGAATATCATGGACTTATTCACACCATGATGTGTGTGGATCCCTATTTGCACCACAATAATATGGTAGTATAACAATTTGGATCTCAGAAGGAGAAGGGGCCACCCTAGTAGCCACTGGTTGGACTAGAGGTGGTATTCAGCCAGTTCTGACCAGTTCTGGAGAACCAGTAGCGGAAATTTTGAGTAGTTCAGAGAACCGGCAAATCCCACCTCTGATTGGCCCTGTCCCCGTCTGCCAGTTCTCCAGAACTGGTCAGAACTGGCTGAATACCACCTCTGGTTTGACTTGGGGGGGGGAAGGTGGGTATGGCCAGGTGTCAGCCCTCTGCCAGCGGGCCCTGTTTTCGGCCACTACAGCAAAAACAGAGCTTGAGGGGGGGCATGCTATCTTTTCAGCCATGATGGCCTCCTGCAGCCCTCTGCCAGCAAATAAATGGTGAGCACTGGCAGAGGCCTGCAGGAGGCTGTTGCAGCTGAACATGGAGTTTGGGAGGGTTAGGGTTAAGCTCCATTTCTGCCAGCAGAAGCACTGTGGGCTGGCCCTTTTCTGATTTCAGGGTGTCCCCTAGGGCCAGATCTAAGCACATCATGGGCCAGATCCGGCCCACGGGCCTTGAGTTTGACACCCCTGGGCTAGAAGGTTCGTGGTCACCTTTCAGCTACACTTGAAATCTGTTCAACTCTGCAAGTTTCTCCTGCTTTAATGCTTTTGGAAGGTTATTCCAAATCTCTTGAAGGGGGAAAAGAGTCAGCGTGCACCCAAACAACAGGTCAGCGTGTGAGAACCTCGAACAACTGGAAGGTGCCCAAGCTGTACAGGCTGACCCTGTCGGGTGATTTGAACGGTCATGTGGGAAACCTCAAATGCAAATTCTGCACGGGGGTGGGCCCAAGGCCAAAATTGGCCAGATTTTTGTGAACGTTACGCAGTGATAATTCATGTCATTAGTATTTCAGAAAATAATATTTTGGAATTGGTGCAAAGCTGCAGCTCTCCCTCTCCTTCCCTCTCTCTCTTTCTCTCTCTCCCTCCTCTGTCTCTCTGTCTCTCTGTCTCTTTCTCTCTCTCTCTCACTCTCACGCACTCACTTCCCCCTCACTCTCACTCTCCCTCCCTCTCTCCCTCCCTCCCTCCGTCTCTCTCACTCTCTCTCTCACTCAATCACTCATTCTCCCTCACTCCCCCTCTCCCTCTCCCCCCCTCTCTCTCTTTCACTCCTCCTCTCTCTCCCTCCCTCCCTGCGTCTCTCTCTCTCTCACACTCAGCCTCACTCTCCCTCCCTCCCCCCTCTCTCACTCTCTCTCTCTCTTTCACTCCCTCTCTCTCTCTCCCTCCCTCCCTCCCTCCCTCCCTCCCCCCCTCTCTCAATTTTAAAAGGTTTAGACTAAACTTTTAGACAACTCTCAAGGTCTTCCTTCCTTGAAAACTCTCTGTCCTACAGGATGGGAACGATTTTCTCTACCCTTGAAGTAATTTTTCAGAATTTTTCAACAACTGGGACTGAACTAAGAAGTCCTAATGGCAGAGATGTCCAGCTTTGGCCACTTGAAGACGCGTGGATTCCAACTCCCAGAATTCCCCATGCTGGCTGGCTGGGGGAATTCTGGGAGTTGAAGTCAACCAAATCTTAAAGTGGCCAAGGTTGGACACCCCTGCCTTATGGCTTCGGCAGAGACGGCATAGGGACACCGTCCACGTTCTCTCCTGAGATTAAAAGCAACTCAAGGTTTTCCATGGATTCTCCACCGTTAAGAACACAAGAAAGCCTAACCTTGGTGAAACTTATTAGAGCAGAATAGCTAGACCCTTCATATTTTGGGGGGGTACAAACACCCAGGGGTTCAAAAATTCTAACAAAAGGTTCTCTGCCTAGTGGCTGGGTGGGTGTGACCATGGTGGGCGTGGCCTAATCAGCTTCCTGCACCACGATGGCAGCGGGGGTGTTTTTGCCCTCCCCAGACTCCAGAGCTTTCCTTGAGCCTCTGGGAGGGTGAAAATAGCCCCCCTGGGCTCCAGCGGCACTCTGGAAGCTGGAAACGGGCCTGTTTCTGGCCTTCCCAAACTCTCCTCGAGGCTTCCTGCCTGCCCTGCACTTACCTGCATCCAAAATGGGCCATGTGGGGACTCCTGGGAGGGGCGGTGAGGGGTGGGTGGGGCCAGCCAGGAGTGGGATTTGGGGGTTCTCCAAACAGCACAAAATCTTAGCTCTCCTGAACCCCTGCGAACCTCCCCAGCAGCCCACCCTTGCGGACACCCCTGGAACATGGGTCCTTCTTACCTTGTCTTAACAGGTGCAACACCCAAGATGTCCATGCCGCTGCCGGACCCTTTTAAGCTGATCCAGGCTGAACGAATTCGCCTCTTCTTCTTCTCTTGCTCCTTGCGTTTCCCAGGCTTTCCTTTTTTCTTCTTTCCAGGGGTCTTCAGCGGCTGCTCCTTGTAGGGCTGTGTCTTGTTGGTCTCCTGGGTCAGGTTTTTGCCTTCGTCGTCGATGCCAAGGCGGATAGTGTAGGTTTTGGCAGGAACAATGGCCGGTTTTGGGTTGGGCGATACCTCTGATACCCCTCGGATCTCAGCCGTGTTCACCCCTTCAATGAGGTTCTGCAGGAAGTGACGCCTTCGGGTATCTTGCATGGACTTTCCTTTGTCGTGCAGGAGTTGGTATTCGGCGACCGTCCTTTTGCTGTTCAAAATAAAGAAGAAGAAGGAGCAAATCCAGACATTATTGGACGTGAAACAGTGTCCATTCATTCATTCATTCATTATGGCCGCCACAATATTAAAAAAGAAAAGGTGTTGAGACTCTGGTGCAGAGAAGATGATTAGGGGACTGAAGGCTAAAACATATTTAAAAAGTGAGCACTGGAATTGCGTACATCTAGTTTAATGAAAAGAAGGACTAGGGGTGACATGATAGCAATGTTCCAATATTTCAGGGACTGCCACAAAGAAGAGGCAGTCCAGCTATTCTCCAAAGCACCTGAAAGCAGGACAAGAATGGATGGAAATTAAGTGAGGAGGAATCAACCTAGAACTAAGGAGAACTTTCCTGACTGTGAGTACAATTAATCAGTGGAACAAATTGCCCCCTAGAAGTTGTGAGTACTCCAACCCAGAGCTGGTCTTCAGCAGGTTCTGACCAGTTCTGGAGAACCAGTAGTGGAAATTTTGAGTAGTTCAGGGAACCGGCAAATCCCACCTCTGACTGGCCCTGTCCCCATCTCTTCTCTGCCTCCCATTGAGTCCCAGCTGATCAGCTGGGTCTTTGGTTGCCCTGCACAGGAAAACGGAGCTGGAAATCAGGTTAGTGGGGTGGGGAGGGAATGGGGATTTTGCAGTAATCTTCTCCCAGAAGTGGGGAGGGAAGGGGGATTTTGCAGTATCCTTCCACTAGAGTGGGGTGGAAATGGGGATTTTGCAGTATTCTTCCCCTGCTGTGCCCACCAAGCCATGGCCACAGAACCGGTAGTAAAAAAAAATTGAATCCCACCACTGAAGTCCACCTATCTTAAAGTGCCCGAGGTTGAAAAGCAGGGCTTCAAATCATGCTGTCCCCTGTTTAATGAAAAGAAATCCATTGAGGGAGATGAACTTGGCCCAAGATTAGCTACGACTCAATTCCATTGGTGCACCTGGCAACCTGGCTGTTTTTTAGATCAAGACTCTCCACGTTAAAAAAAAACCACCCTATTTTCTTCACCTTTTAAACCTTTTAAAGAAGCCACTCACAGATTTAGAACTGAATTTTCAAAGTGACACCTGAACAGGCCCATACTGTAGATAATACAGATTCTTAAGCAGCTTTGAAGCTATTTCAGAAAGGAACTGTTTGCCTTAGCTCTGAAGAGACATCTGTCTTGTTACATTCAAGTCAGGAGTCGTCTGACTACCGGTTCACCCCGGTTCACGTGAACCGGTATCTAATTTTAACATTTTTAATGACCTGTTCAGCGAACTGGCAAATCCAACCCCTGGCTGGCCTTCTCTGGCCCCCCCTCCCTTCCCAGGAGTCTCAAGGCAGCCCATTTTGGATGCCTTCCTGCATGGAAGCTTGGGAAGGACAAAAAATGGACCTCCCAGAGGTTTCAGAAGGCCATAAATGGGCCCGTTTCCAGCCTCCGGAGCCCAGGGAGGCCATTTTCATCCTCCCGGAGGCTCGAGGAAAGCCTCTGGAGCCCAGGGAGGGTGAAACACTGTGGTGCAGGAGACTGATTAGGCCACGCCCACCATGGCCACACCCACTCAGCCACCAGGCAGAGAACCCATTGCTGAAATTTTTGAAGCCCACCCCTGATTCAAGCTCACCAAAGAAGTGCATAGAAACCATAAGGTCGGGGAAGCATATAAATGGAAATGATTGGTGATCTTTGGATAAACGTGGACAATCCCTGTGGTCACAGTGGATGCTGCATGTTCTAGAGCACAGGATGAGTTTTTAAATTTTGCTAAGGGAGCTGCTTAATGTTGTTCCCCAGTTTTCCCCCAATCTGCCCCCAGGAGGACCAGTTAAATACATTGCATGATCTAAACATCTGGAGAGATGCTTCCCAATATGTTAGTTGTCTTTTATAGATTGGCAACATCCATCCCTTTCTTTTTTCCACCAACAAACAAACTCTTGGTGCACCTAACTCTGGAGGACTTTTTCTCCACAGTTGGTCTGTGACTGACTGCTCCTGGACACATCTGTTTGGACAGATGGGTTCTCGATCACTAAATGCGAAGACCCCTTCAAATTGGGCTCAATTCCACGTGACTCCTTAGTTTTCTTGATACAGAAGATAGTTGCTATTGCCTTTTCTTTTCCAGTCTAAGCTAAGCTTTGAATATTCCTAGCTGTCTTCTTCCAAGTTCTTACCCAGGGTGAACCCTGCGTCTCTCTCTGAGATCAGCCACTTGCTGTAGATCAAGATTACAGCACTCTGCTAAACAACTAATTCCCACCACGCTGTCAAACTATTTACTAAGACTGCATTACTATAATTCTTCTCTTCCTTCCTATTCCCTATCTCCTTTTCTACTTATGACTATGACCTTGTTTCTTGTATCTTTATGATCCTAGTATGATTTTGATTGCTTATTTAGCATCCTATGACTATTACTACTTATTGTATCTTATGATTCATGATGAATGCATTTATAATGACTATGATCATGATTTATTACTTACATCTTTTATGTACACTGAGAGCTTAGGCACTGAAGACAAATTCCTTGTGTGTCCAATAACACTTGGCCAATAAAGAATTCTATTCTATTCTATTCTATTCTATTCTATTCTATTCTATTCTATTCTATTCTATTCTATTCTATTCTATTCTATTCTATTCTATTCTATTCTATTTTGTTCTATTCTCTATTCTATTCTATTCTATTCTATTCTATTCTATTCTATTTTCTATTCAATTCTCTCTTCTCTTCTCTTCTCTTCTCTTCTCTCTTCTCTTCTGCTCTACTCTATGGATAAGAGCAGATAAATATTAATTCTATTCCACTCTACTCTCTTCTACTTTCTTCTCTCATCTATTCTACTCTACTCTCTTCTCTTTTAATTATTAGGGTTTCTAATCAACGACAGGGCTAATAGGACACACATCTTCTCAGTACCTTACTTCTCCAGACACACTTTAATACCTTCCTGATGTTTGATAGGTATGATCTGCTTGAGATTTATCAATTTTAGGATAGTAAAGAATGGCATTTTGCAATCTGCCCATACTGGAAGAATAAGGATGACAGAGAACCATAGTCCAGGAAAAAAAAATATTGTGGTCCAGCACTTGATCCTGGGGAATAATTACTGATGGGAAAAGGCGTGCTTGGCTCTAAGGGTAAGGTGGATGCATTGTCAATTGCAGGAATAAAATAAGAGGTGGGTTTGTAGATGATTCCAGTAGATACCTGTCCCTCCAGTCTACCAACCTGCAAAATGTGCGAAGGCATTTCTAGAGCTAAGTTCCCCATTTAGTTCAGTACACAAGGACATGATGTTTCTGCTCTAATTGTTTGCAGCTAATTGATAATACAGATCGTCCTCAACCTATGATGGCAACTGAGCCAGAAATGTCTGTTGCTAAGCGAGACCGCTGGTAAGTGACTTCTGTCCCATTTTACAACTTTTCTTGCATCTGTTGTTAAACGAATCACAGCAGCTGTTAAGTTAGTGGCACGCTTGTTAAGTGAATCTGGATTTCCCCATTGACTTTGCTCATCAGAAGGTCGTAAAAGGGGATCACGTGACTTCCCAGGACACTGCAATTGTCATAAATGTGAACCAGTTGCCAAGCATCTGAATTTTGACCATGTGACCCTGAGGAATGCTGCAACGGTCATATGTGTGAAAAAATGGTCATAGGTCACTTTTTTCAGTGCTGTTGTAACTTTGACTGGTCACTAAATGAACTGTTGTAAGTCAAGGACTATCTGTAGGGTCCAAGATACCCTTAATATCCTGGACACATTGAAGGACACCAAACTCCTTCAGGTTGGTAAAATGAGGACCCAGATTGTTGGGGGCAATAGGCTGACTCTGTAAACTGCTTAGAGAGGGCTGTAAAGCACTGTGAAGTGGTATATGAGTCTAAGTGCTATTGCCCTTCCTTCCTTCCTTCCTTCCTTCCTTCCTTCCTTCCTTCCTTCCTTCCTTCCATCCATCCATCCATCCATCCATCCATTATTCCTTTCTCATTCTCCTTCCTGGTGGCCAGTGGTTAGAGTGCAGCATTGCAGGCTAACTCTGCCCACAGCCTGGAAGTCGATAAAATGAGGACCCAGATTATTGGGGGCATTATGCTGATTCTCTAAACTGCTTAGAGAGGGCTGTAAAAGCACTGAGAAGTAATATATAAGTCTATTATATTATACATAATATTATATAGTGGTATATAAGGCTATTGCTATTGTAGACTAATATGATTTCACTGAAATATATCAAGGATAGAATGAAATCATCTCAAAAGTCACTGAGAGTTGAACATATACTTAAAGTTAAATCAATCCAAATAATTAATACAAAAAGCAAGGTTATTATCACACTCAGTCCCTTCTGGTTTATCATAGCAGCTTATTATCAAAAGCTGAGGGTGTATAAGCTTGATTAACCAAGAGCTGGAATGCTACGGTACAACGTGAAGCAAAATACAAGGAGCCTTGCACCTGAAGATTAGAAAAAAACTTGGCCTTCTGTGTTAGAATTGAATCTCTTATTGGCCAAGGGACAGAGCTAAAAACTGGAAGGACCACAACTGAAATCTCATTAAGACGCACTCTCTCCCTGTCTCTCTCTCTTCCCCTTCAGAATTATGCAGTTTATAGAGATGAGACATATAAATTCTTCTGAGCAGTTCAAGAAATTATATGTCTTCTTCATGTTTGTTTCATGCTCGTTCACCCATGGAAATTATCCCAATGTTAAAGAGAATGCATGAAAAAAAATCACTCTTGTAGATGTTGGCATCGCTGGTCCGTGGTCGGCCCAGTAAAATGCCACTTCAGCCTGAACGAATGGCTTTTTTCAAAGCAACTTGGCACAATCCTGGTTAGCGGAAGATAAAGTTTGTGGCATGAGCTAGACCAGAGGTCTCCAAGCTTGGCAACGTTAAGAGTTTAACCATAGCTGGCTGGAGAATTCTAGGAGTTGAAGTCCACAAGTCTTAAAGCTGCCAAGTTTGGGGACACCTGAGCAAGACGAACCACCTGGCTAGAAAAAGGGTTGATGTTCTCCAATGAAAAAACATGTAGATATTTTGGGAAGACAATGAAGGGTGCTATTAGATGCCTTGTAAAAATAGCAGGAATATGACTGTGACTTTATTCACAATAGCTTAGTAAGCCACTGGATATGTTCTCCAGCTTAAAAAAAAACTTTGGCAGTTATTCTAGAAAGAATATCTTCATTCCTGCATTCTGGTTCATCTTACATATCCACCAGAGTAGTATTTCTCAACCTTGTCGATTTTCAGATACATGGGGTTACAATTCTGGGAGTTGTGGTCCTCTATCTTAAAGTTGCTAAGGTTGAGAAACGTTGAACTAAACAATCAGCTTTAAAATTACATGTGCAACTTATGTCAATTCCGGTTCTGTAGAACTTTTCTCTTGTTGAATTCCAGATCTTCAATGCCACCCTTTAAAAATGTGACTTCAGCCAACCATTTCTATGACACTCGCCTTATCCATGTCATTTGCTCATTTAATTAAGATGGCCACTCTCTTCTCGGAACGGATCAGCGTTTTGAAAGCCTGAATATTTTTGTGCTGTATGACTTTATACTACTTTATATCATGGTTATCCGATTCTCTTTAGAGACTCCAATTCATTTTCCTCCCAATGTATTCACAATGTGAATGGCTTTTTTCTTCACCTGTTAAAATTCTCCGCTTTCTTGAACTCTGAATAAATTTGTAAACCTCCTGCTGCCATATGATGCATACAAATACCCTCAAATCTAATTTTTCTTTCTTTCTCTCTTTCTTACCCAGTTAGCAATTAAAACCAACTTGATATTTGTTTGTGATGAGCAGATTTTTCTCATCTTTTGGTCTTTCCTTCCACAAAAGATGTGTACTTAATTTGAAATGGATTAATTGTTCTTGTCACAAGAGCCTCTTAGGGGAGTTCTAAGAAGTTTCTAAGCGTGCCAATAAATGTCATTGTTAAAAATAGAATCATGTAAAATTCAATAGCAAGAGGCAGTTTGGGGTAGTGGTTAAAACCACTGGACTAGACTTTGGGAGTTCTCGTCCTGTTTTAAACCCAATTAGATAAGCTTGAGCCTGTCCCTGTCTCTCAGCCTTAAGAAGAAAGCAAGAAAAAGGCTTTCTCAAGAAAACTACATGGACTTACCCATATAATTGCCAACCGTCATGCTGACTCAAAGTCATTAACCGATCGATCAATTCATCCAATAATAGGAGCAAACAGCATTCTTAACAGACTAATAGCAAATGCATATTTCTCAATTAAGGTGCTCTCTCAGACTATGTTACTAGGTAACTGCTGTGGAATATATTAGAATTTTAGTTATAAGCCACCTAGAATTGTCAGGGAGTGGAGTGACCTATAAACAAAACTCAATTAGCTGAATTCAGAAATCTCCGTGTTCCTTAGCATGAACATTTGAGTTGTTGTTGTTGTTTTAAACAATTTTGTATCTCAATACGTGATAATATTCTCGAAGAGGAAGGTTTTGTCTGTAGATATTATCAAGCTACATGCTTTAAAACAATTGTGCATGAAAAGTTCCTTCATCCAGCTATTCTACCGGGGTCGCTGTTTAAGTGACTAAACATGTTGCATCAGGATTAAGAATGATCATGAAGACAGAGGTAGCATCGGTGCGCCATGATTTCAGTCAAGGTGGTTAGAGCCCCCATTCAGGGAACTTTAGAGGGAGACTGAGTAGAAAGGGAGCGGGGGGGGGGAAATCTCTTTGCCACTAGGAAGACTAAGTGCAACTTTGCCAATGGCTCTTGTTCCCCACTTTGGTGAAAAGATAAAAAGAATATTTGTTGCTCAGAGTTGAACTAGGAGGTCCTTGGCACTCTCCGAGCTTGGTTATTTTCTTGCAGACTTATTTTATTATTTATTACGTTTTATTACCCAGTTAGGTAACATCATCGGGGCAACCAATCTCAGAGAGCACCAGGGACCCCCCCCCCCAAATAAAAATTCCCAATTCCACCTCATTCTTTCAGGCAGCAGAAGGCAAAACTCTAACCATTTTGCAAATGTCTGCTGTGGGATAGATGCAGGAATATACACCGCCAATCTCCAAAGGCCCATAAGATAACTTGCTACTGGGGCCAACTATTCTTTTAAAATCTACCTCCCCATACTGTTTTCTCCCTCCCCTCCACCTCCTGTAACCGTGACGGGGAATGAGAACTGGAGAAAACTCGGGGCATGCATAAGTGCACAATTGTGCCTATCGTCCCTGTTCTATTGTCCCCGTTTATTCGTACCTATTCCCTGTATTCTTACTCATGTTTATACCTATGCCTATTATCTTGTAAGCGGTTGACAAATCAAATAAATAAACAAAATAAATAAAACTCCTGATCTAAACCGAATCTCCGGAGTGGCTGAAGAAACACTACCCTTTCTAGAAGAAATACACCATGTCTAAAAATAGATCCCCGAAGACTGAAAAGTTTCTTTTTTGGGGGGGAAGTGTTTTCGCGATCCCGCTAGAGGTCTCTTTCCAGCCTGTAATGAGAAATTGCCTGACCCCAAACCAGAGGCAGTTAATGCCATGCTAACATGTGGTGCGGTGAGCAATTTAGAGTGAAGAGTTGAGACTTTATGGTTTCTCGCTGCCCAAAAGCACTCACACAAATTACTGTATACATGGCACGCCGGGTTCACAGAGTTATAATTCACTCTCATGTACACAACCTTGAAAACATCATCCCCATGGTCTTGGGGCTAAACTGCCTATCCCCAACGGGAACATGGTTAACCAACCCTCACTAAGCAGCGGTCACTCTTGGCCTCCCCTTGCTCTCTGTTCCTTCGCCGGGCTTCCCTCCCTCCCTCCTGTTTAAGGACTTAAGGAAGGCGACTGTACTTTGCAGCACTGTATAATACCTTCTGCGTTTCCAAGTTCTTCGGCTTGCCTTTTTTCTACAATTGTTTCGGGACCTGAGCAAGGTACCACATTCTTTGTTTCCAGAATGTGGGATGGAAACCTTGCTAGGAAGTTATTGCTCTGAGCACGAGCCCTGGTGGATTGATGCTGAGTTACGCATCCATCACGGTCAAAGCCAGATGTTCTTTTGGGGCAACATCTGACTTCTCTCGGGTCTGTTCAAGAATTTAGGAGTTCAGCCGGTGGGTTTTCAGTCGGGCTACGAAAGGGAACAAGTGCAAATTTGGAAGCCGTGTTTAGAAGAGAGGTAGAAGAAGGACGACTGTTTCGGAAGGGAAGTGGTGCGTGGCCCATGCCAAGGTTTATACAGACCTCATTCTAATCCGCGAATAGTTCGCACAAGGGGAAAGAATCCGTGCAGATTCCACCCAGGAGTTTCTGCATCGTGAGAACAAGCCGCAACTCCCGTTACCTAGTTTGGGTAATGAAACGTCTGCCAAGAAAACAACCGAAGCTCCCAGAGCACCAAAGCACCCTTTCCCTAATTCGCCTCCAAAGAAAAACCTGTTTCAAGGATAACTTTTTCCTATATTTCATAGACTGCCTGCAATTCATCTACTAAACTGGTAACTTTATTCCCAACTTCCCGTATCACCTAACAAAGAATTAAGTACAAGCCTAGAACTGCGCATCCGGCATGGCGACAAGATTGCAGGATGGATTTTATCGATCCGGTTAGTTCACCCTACACTCCAGTAATCTGACTGGTGTTATTAATAAGCATGGGGGGGGGGGCATTTGAGCACCTCAGAATCGGAGCCAGCGGTCCGTTTTCCTGTTTCCTCTCAGCTCACCGTCTCTTATGTCTCTCTCCATCAGTAGTTTAACCCAAAGGTTAAATTTCCTGCTCATTGGCACAAACCCTCAATGGAGGGTTGCCGCGATTTAAGCGCTACGTATTTTCTCCCCAGGGCGCTCTCCGGGTTTCTGGGATCTGAAGACTATATAATATTTCTGCTATGGTCATTTGTAATAAAAACACCATTTCCCAGCTCATGTAAACATACACACATGAGGCTCTACTCTAACGCTCTCCTCCTTTCTCTCTCTCTCCCTCTCCCTCTCTCTCCCTCTCCCTCTTTCCCTCTCTCTCCCTCCCTCCCTCTCCCCCTCTCCCTCTCCTTCTCCTCCCTCCCTCTCTCTCCCTCTCCCTCCCTCTCTCTCTCTCCCACACTCCCTCTCCCTCCCTCTTCTTCTCCCTCGCCCCCCCCCTCTCTCCTTCACACACTCCCCACGTCCCTTCAGGGCAGCTATTGTTCTTTTGACACAAGGCAAAACGAGCGGTGGGCCGGTCGTTTTGGCCCTACCTGGCTCCCCGTTTCCCTAAAGCAGGGGTCTCCAACCTTGGCAGCTTTAAGACTTGTGGACTTCAGCTCCCAAAATTCCTCCTCCAGTCAGGTTAGCTCAGGAATTCCGGGAGTTGAAGTGCACAAGTCTTCAACTTGCCAAGTTTGAAGACCCTTGTTCTAAAGATAAGTGCTACCCCGCCAAGTAGCTTTCCCCGATTCAAAAAGTGAAGGGAGACAGAGAGAGGGGGAAAAAAAGGAGGGGGGGGGAGAAAAGATTTTAAAAAATTCAGGGTTGGTTTAGGAAAGCAATCCTCCACCCGATCCGTCCTTTCCTTCAAGTCATCCCTCGGGATTTTTTTTATTTCAAAGGGGAAATTAAAAAAAAAACCTGACTCTTGTTCTGAGCCAATCGCTTCACGAGCTGAGCAAAGGGAATCCAAGGCTGCCCGGTCGTTTTGGCGAGCTACGGCGGGGCATCCGAAGTCGAGGGGGAAGCCCGCCCTCCCTCCCCGCCGGCTCGGGAACAGGGAAGGGAAGAGAAAGAGCGACTCACAATCGGCGTCCGTTCCCGTGGCCTTCCAGGGATCGGCCGGAGGACGGCAGGCAGTAACTCAACAAGAAGACCATGAAACTCCACTGCTGGAAGTGTCTGGGGAACATGGTGGTTTGCCGGCGGATCTTCGGGACCTGCAAGGAGAAGTGGCGCTGAGCGAATGGAGCGGGACGCCAGGAGAACGGGGAGGTTTGGGGGGGGGGGAGGGAAAGAGGGAGGGAGGGAGGGAGGGCGCCAGGCGTGGGCTCCCCGCCCCCAAACGCCAGCCAACCTCCCAGGCGTGGAGCAAGGGAGCGCAGAGGAGGCGCGGGACGCCCCTTCGAGGAGGAGGGGGAGGAGGAGGAGGAGGAGGAGGAAGGGGGGAAACCCTCCGGCCAGCAGGAGGGCTTCCCGTCCTGTCCCTTGCTCAGATCCCGAGCTTCTACCCGCTGCGCGTCTCTGCAGCTGCCTTTCTGCCTCCCTCCCTCTGGATCGCCACGGGATGGGAAGGGGAGGAAGAGGAGGAGGAGGAGGAGGAGGCCAGCTTGGGAAGCCAAGAGAGGAGCAGCCACCTCGCTGCTGCCCGCCTCCATCGGGCCCTGGCAAGCGGGGAGTGGGACCACCCACAGCCCTTGGGGAAGAAGAGGCCAGGAGCGGGCGACTCGGCCCTGTCACTCACGCCGAGGATCCGGGCAGACAGGCTGCCCACCAAGAGCGTCCGAAGCTCCCTCCCTGCACGCAGAAACCTAGCGCGGCAGGGGCGGTCCCCGAGCTCTTTCCTTGCCCGACCGAGCCTCCCCGAAGCCAAAAGTTTGGGACCGGGAAGGTTGAAAGAAGGCAGAGTCCTCGATTGGGGGGGGGGGGGGGGGGGGGGGGGCAGAGTGGCTGCCAGAGCCCTGGTCGGATGTACCTTCCCCGCCAGGCACCCTGGAGCAGCAGCACCTAAGCCCGGCTACCAGCCTCGCCCTCCAGGAGCGAATGGTGCAGAATGGCCGGAACTGGGAGAAACAGCTACCTGGCCGTCCATGCATTGGACTCCCACACCTTCGAGTCCCGCCTTCCTGGCAGGGGAACGTGGCATCGAAGTCCCAAACTTCAACAGTTCGACTCTGGGGAAGGGCTGGTCAAGGGCCCCCGCCTCGAATGCCCGGCCACACCGTGCTCAGCCCTCCCGGGTCCCCTCCGGCCAGCCAACGAGTCCAAGCAAAAGCAAGGCTGGTCCAGTGACTGTGGCTGGGGAGAGAACCCCCCCCCCC